TCCAAGACAGAAACCAGATGAAGGGTGTTCTCTTCCTGTAGCTTATAGTAGGTTTTGAAGCTTTGCTCATTTCTATCAGGTCTCAAATGTGCACTGAGTGCTGGAAGCAGGTTGCTGAGCCAGCTTGCTGTACAAAATACACACTCTTTGATTACAGAAGAGATTTGTGTTATGTCAAATTCTATGTTTTCTTGCACAGTAAACAATGGCAAGAAGCAACCATTGGTGAGAAGATGGGAAGTTATACCTGTTTACAACATTTCCACCAAACTCCTTGAGTTATGGAGATACCTCGTGCCCCTGAATGAGCTTTGACCCACTGTTGCCTTCTGCTACAAAAAAGAAGAGTGGAGGAAGGAACCAGTACAACCTGAAAGATCTTCCACCAAGGCAACTGTGCTGTAGCCATCTCCTTCCAGAAAATTAACTGCCAAGGCTCAGAGTTTGGTTAAACTCTGAGCCTTAAACTTATTTTGCACTACTGATTGAGATTCCCTGAAAAAAAAAAGCAAAAAAAAAAGCAGTAAAGTAACTCTTTATGGTGTTAATGCCATGAAAATCTCCATGAGGAAATGAGTAGTTCTGTATTCAGTGCACCATCTGCCAACCATGCAGTAAATAAAGCCATACAAGAAATGGTGAGAAACAAAACATCAACAACCTACCCACTCATTAAGCATTAGCCATGCTGTGTGCTGAACAATATGCAGGCCTTGGGGGGTGGGGGCGAGAGGGGAAGCACGCAATCCTCTAATTAAAGGCAATCAAAATGAATATTTACAAAGGGGATGAATGAGTAGCTTTAACTGTAGAATTTTCTAGCCTCTGATTGCTTGGGTTTGCAAGTTCAGCCCTTGAAGTTCAGCCCTGTCCAGCAATCTAAATGCCTAACTAAAGGCTTTATCTTATTCTGTATAGAAGGAGATCCATAAAACACATGCAGTTGACACACTCGTTGACACACGTTTTTAGGTACACACACACTCGTACAGGGATCATTGCTTTCACTGCCTCCTATCAGGGAAACCAGACAAAAAGACAGGTTAGAGAAGAGATATCCCAGCTCAATTTTGTTTTAAGGTCATTCTGAAACAGCAACGGGAATTCAGTACATCCTCTCTCGTATAGTGAGCTTTCTCAGCAACACTACATTAAAAAACTTCTATTTAAAACACAATCCAAGGAGTCCTGCTAGCAAGGATAAAAGATCCAAAGAGTATAAATTAAATACAGTATTAGCAAAGAAAAACATGTATTTGAAAACATTTCAGATGATACACAGAACTTAACCAATGAGAAAACATTTGCCCAGTGTAGATGAAAAATACTGAGCAAATTTAGTTAGCTGAGAGACGCTAACAGTAACATGTTTTCATTTTCTYTTCAAACTCTGGTACAAATTCAGCTAATATCACTTTGTATGATCTCATACCAGGATAGGAGCCAAAAGTTTAACTTGAAATCTTTGCAGTTATCAGATCTGGAAAACTTTTCAATCACTTAAGTTTGAGAAACATTTAAAAAAGAAAAAAGTATCAGAGATAAAAGGCCAGGGGCTTGAAACATTTATCACTTCATCATACTCTTCCATTTGATGCTAGGTCAGCATCTTTACAGATACAATAAAATGTTTGCTTTACCTATATTTTGAGTTGTTTTGAAAAAATAAAACCAAATTGATGAACAGACAGGGTTAGAAACAGACACAGAGTAACAAGGCCAAGTAATTCCTATGGAGTTCAAGCTCCTTAGTGAGCATGTACAGGAGTACAAAGCTCCCAGGCAAAAGTTGAATTTTCCAATACTTGATTCCAGCAGTGGAAAACTGCAAACACACAGCCATGTTGCTTTGGTGTCAGCCTCACAAACCCTAGCTTTGCCAAGCAGTGGGAAGGCCACAGTGCAGTGCACATAAGATGAGTGTGATGCTCCCAGAAAAAATCCCAGGATTGATACAGCTGGCCATGCTCTTCCCTCTGCTTTTCCATGGCACAGGGGATCCAAGGCCTGCCCGCACCACAGCTCGCTCAGCACCACCTCCTTTGYACCACTACCAGGGGTCTGGGAAAAGCAGGACAAGCTCACAAAACCCTCAGACTGAGCCAGGAAAAGGTGGGAAGAGGAAGACAATGGGATGTACAGGAGAACACAGTGCCCTGTTGGAAGCAAACCCTATCAACACATTTCAGCAACTGCTAAAATAGGAGACTCCCTGCTCCATATGACTCCATGTAGGGACCAAATGAGGAAAGATGAGGGTAACGAGTACTTTTCTGGCATGYCTCTGACACCTCCAGTCTCTGATGAAACAAATATACCACAAACACCTTGCAAGCACAATTGCAGCCAGAGAAAAAGCAGACACAGGGTAGAAGTGAATACAACCACAAGCTCAGACATGCCCATACCATGCCAAGCTGATCACCTTTTTGAGAGAATATGCCAATTTATGAGCTATTAGGTCAGCTCCAGACCTGTTCTGGTTTCAGGCAGGAGTCACATCTTGCCATGTGACAGCCACCCTACCCCCTACAGGAAAAATGCTTCTCATGGGAAGCCCTAATCTTTAAATCATTCACGACCATTTTAATCTTACCATTAAGCAGGGAATATTCAGGCCAGAATTTAGCTAGGACAAAAGTCAGGCCAGACTTCCTAGGACAAAATTCAAAAYAAAGTTTTAAAACACTGGCTTTTTCTAAGCAAGTCAGTATATGAAAGATAGGGCGGGGAAAGCATATTTTCAGAAACCACCACAAGACACTCAGGTGTGGGTTTGTAGGTCAATGGGTTACCAYAGGTTGTTTGACCACATGCAGACCTCTTCAAAAAAACTCAGCAAATACAAGAAGTACTGCCAAAATGTTTCCATYGTTTTCTCAGACTTACATTAAAACATTCTTTGTGCATGCAAACAAATATAGAGAGATTTCTCCATTTCCTTACTGAGAAAAGTGATTTTTCCTTCTCTCCAATAAGATTTCCATCATCCACTGGTGGAAAAAAAAAAAAAAAAAACAACAAAAAAACCCCAAGAAAGCTGCAAATTGAATCTTACCACTGTGTATTTCCCGATGCAGATCCCTGCTCTCCCATTACCTTCCAAAACTCCCCCTCAAAACACTTGTTTCCTCATTATTGCCTGCACATTTCTCACTCTTTGCTCTTTTCATATTCAGAAAGACTGATTTCTGGTTCCCTGAATTTTTCTTCATCTGTCTCTCATCATCTGCAGGGGACTTCATACTTGGTTCCAAACACAGCCCACTAAGAAGCATCTCTGGAGGAAATAAAAGTGTTTGGTGTAGATGGCTGGACAGAAAGATCCCCACCCCCTTTACTCTCCACTTCATCCTTTCATCCTGCTTTCTGTTCTGGAAAAGCCACACAAGTAACTATTCCCATTTGTTTTTCTCCTTCACTCACTGAGCTCCAGATGCTTTTGCTACACCACTGACCCCCTCTTTGCTCYGCTGCCTACCCTTTTACCCTCTCCAGGTGCTGGGATACTCCTCAACCTCGCTGTAGCCTGCTCCTCTCCAGCACACACTTGCACCTGCTGCAGATTTCCACTTCAGGYAAAGCCTCAGACATCATCCCTGACATCTTCACAATAACATTACGCAATAACACATCTTCACAATATAACACAATAATATTCTTGTCTTTTCTCCCTGCAGCACCCAATGCATTCCCTTTGGCTKCAGGGCTGTAGGCAGCATGGCATCATCTTGGTTCTGGTCCTCTGTAGCTGAGAGTGCTGTCCAGACACACCTATWTCTTTTAGCTGTTGCCTGCTCCCAGGTACAAGAGCAAAAGACTGAAGGTCATCCCAAACTGCTCTAGATGGTGCAGCCTCCCTTTTCAGCCCCATACACAATTAGACAAAATTAATCTAATCTAGATTCAAGAATCACARGGAAGTTTAAACTAATACAAAAATTCTGCTATCACTCTGCCAGTGCTAGGGTTCATTTTTACCAGTTCTTGAGTATTTCTTGTACCACAACTTGGTGAAAGAGCTGTCTGGTCAGCAAGACCTGCAGTTGAAAGCTCATCCTGTTAGGCACTGCTCAGCACTGGTACATGCATGGGACAACATACAAGGTCCTGCGTGTATTGATGTAGAAGAGAGAACCCCTGCCAAAAGCCAGGGCTTCAACACCATGTGCTTTTSTAACAGGACTTGGATCTTTTCCCTTTGAACAGGTTGTACTAAGAAGAACAGATCTTACTCATTGGTCAGTATCTGAAAGTGATATATTCTAGGTACTCACTAAGTTGAAAGCAATTAGAATGTCAAGATGTAAATTCCACAGAAAGGTCATGTGCATTTCTAATGATGGCCCCATGTATCTGCAGGCAGAGCCAGAGAAAGACAATCTCAAGGGAAGCCCCATTTATCCTCCTACAGGGTTTGGCCTTGGAGCTTCTTTCCTCCCSTCTGTGGGCAGGAATATAGCAAGGGAGTGGGGCAGAAAGACCCCCAAACTGGATTTGCAGTCACTGGAACGCATCAGCTCCACTGTAACAGGCTTTGGGAACAGCMCAGGTGTGCTATGGACACACCTGCTGCTGTTACAGACCTCTCTGTTTCACTAACAAATACATAAAACTCAATCTTGCACTTTTCTCCAGCAACAGCCTCTCTCGGAATCAGTTCAAGAAAGGCTAAATTCATTTTGTCAGTTCAGATTTCTTTGACATTGGGCTAAAGACTTTCAAATACAGAACATTTACATCAGAGAGTTGGGCGGGGGGGGGGGTAGGGAGGTGAGATTTACAGGAAAATCACACTTTTTTTAATGTAAACTCTCTTATTACTAAACAGGAACAGCAAATTCTGAAGGCTGATGTTTGTAATTAGGAGGCGTATCTGTAGTATCTGAAATTTCTCCCATTCTTACACACAGCCATCTGAATTGTATCTTCCTGTTTTGACTAAAAACCTTCTGAAGTAAGGACTGAGTTAGTTATAAACTATTTCATAATCCACTCACCCGTCCTTCCTGGAGCAGGAAGAAGGGGCATTCAGAATCCTCCATGTGAGCCCTTCAATCCCATTCACACCTACTTCAGAAGTGTAAATCCTCACATTTCTCTGTGACTCAAGCCTGAAATGAAGAAAAACAGGACAAAAGCACTAAGCAACTTTATGTYATACACCGATAAAAAATAAAATTATAATAACAGGTGCTTTTAAACAATTTGTTCATACTATWTTATGTCTTGTGAATACTCAAGTCGAAGACATTGCTCTAATTCAAGGTCAAATGACTGTAAAATGACAGAAAACACAATGCTTTTACACAATTACATAGTCTTTTATTTCAGGACTTTTCCTGTTCAGTTACAATGAATACCATTTAGGTACTACAAGCACTTCAGTMACTGGACAAAGTCCAAAATTTCAGTCAGGATGCTTCCTCACTAAAAATTTTCTTGAACAGGAACACAACCTGGAATGCAGTCTTAGAACAAAGCCTTGAGGAATAAAATTTATTGAAATTCATGCTACAAAAAGGAAGCTGAATTGTGTCAGCGGAAGACAAATCCACTCTCGAGAGCATATTTTCTTGTTCTCTGTGTTCACTAGTTCATCTGCTCCTCTACTGATTTTCCCAAATMATGTCTAAAGGTAGGACAAAGGTACTGGGTAGGGGCAGTGGGTGATGACCCTGAAACACTCCCAGCACACCTTCACACTGTGACCTCTGCTACTCCCAAGGCACACACAGAAACTGCGGCCCATCTTGGAAACATGGACTGCAGCAGGATGGAGATTGCASTTTCTGCAGCCAAAAGGTAAAGACTGAGACTTAAACCCTGCTAAGTAAAGAGTAATAAAAGATTCAACATGGTAGCTAAAATTAGGTACAAAATCCTCCATATTTTTACATCACTCATGCCACTACATTCTCATGAAAATATGTTCTTATGCCATTTATTTCTTATTCTTACATTTATAATTCATTTTTATGCAGCATTATTATACATTATACAGTTTTCTCAATTACACCGCATGCATTTATGTGTGCATGTGTATAACTTCGAAAGAAAAATCAACATAAGCAGGCATTACAGCCAGAAACTGAGGAAGTTTTAAAGTACATGTCTGTGACAATGAAACATGTAGCATGAACTGAAGACACAAAGGCCTGGCAAATTTGTGGCATCCAGGTATTCAACCCTGAGAACAGCATTAGAGATTCTTCCAGTGCTCAGAGTCAAACAAAAGCTGACTTCTGCAAAACATTCTGGAAATCCCGAGAAGGATAAAAGAAAGGATATTTTGTCAGCAATAAACTTTTGCTTTATCTAAGAGTGCTGACTGAACCTTTACTTTTTTAAAATAGTATTTCTTCAACACATGCTGGAAACAAATGCAGTTTACTGCACAGGGCTCACAGAACTTTGTCGTTACAGGCTTCTGGTGGTTTAGTTTATACCTGGAGCAGRCACAGCATCTACAAACACTGATTTAAAATTGCTCTAATTCTGTGTGATTAAACATAATCTGCTGTGTTCAGTTACCTTGCTCAGGAATGTACAGTGCATTAAACTCGTAATGCAGAAAAGATCACTGAACTTCATGAATGGAAAGACCCACCTTCAAAATGTTACAGCCTCATGTTTTCTGATTTAAATAACTAAAACTGCAGAAATAAAAGCTACCCTTGGAAGCCCCTGAGGGATGGAAATCACTCTTGTTTGGACCTCTCTGGAAKTGACAGAAAAGATGAAAATCCTAATTTGATTGATTAACCAAATGTATCATCATAAAAAACATTGCTCAGATCCTTTACTTCAGCTACTGGATCATTTTTGAGGTCCACGATGAGGTCATGAGCTTCCCCAGCTCAATTAGGCAGGCTCATTATTAGAAGAGTTACATATGAAGCAAAGTATGGTCTGTAAATGTTCATGACTCACTCCTCATGTACTTTGTGTTGACTGCAAAGAACATTTCAAAGAAGTTATCTATGATAACTTCTTGAAACACAGAGAAACACACTTTGAAATCTGCTGACAGCTTTAGTGAACAAAGAAAGCCAGAAGTTTCAGATAGCTCTGGAAAAAAAACACTTGAAATGTATGCTTTGTTGCTCAAGAGTTTAAGGAGGAAAAAAAAAAAGAAAAAGAAAAAAGATGAGCTTCCAAATAAAGATGAGTTCTTTAATGAGCAGACCTTGAAGTTCATTCTCAAGCTTGAGTGCACTGAAACCAAAGGACACCTGGATTTCTTGAACTGGCCCTATAACAGCATGCTACAGATATTTGCCTCATTGCATGCACACACAAATAAACCATATTACATWCCCTTTATCATAATCTCTGCAAAAGAAGAATTTTGTTCTTTTTAACATATTCAGAACAATACCATCTTTATTAAAAACTAAAGATGGCCAGATAAAATGCTTGCCTTAYTTTTTTATGCAACCATGTGCCTGTATTTCATGAGGAGCTAACTGAATAATTAAATCAAGATACAAAGCAGAGATACTGAAGAGTATTTCACCTTCTCTGTAACTTATACTATCCAGGCAATGAATAATATTCATCTTTTAATACTTTTATCTATAAGGGGAATAAACTTTAGAACACTCACAGAAGCTCAATCCTTCTTTTCARAAGCCTGCCAAAGTCATTCTGAAACACATATGCCAAACATACATAGCAAAGAAAAATGCAAGGGCCTTCCTAGCATTTGGGAAAACATGAGGGAAGAGAGGAGCCATCAGAACAATCAAATAAAACACAATGGATTAAATTRGGCTGCTTAAATACATATGTCCATAAATCATCCTCCACAGGATCTTCCTACAAAATGTTCACACAAGACTGTGTGTAAACACACATGGGAAGGGGTGGGATGCAGCCCTGCCTAAACAGACCTAGCTACCACACCACAAGCCAGGCAAGATGGTGAAATTTCCCTTTTTCCCTGTTTTTAGTGCAAGGAAATCATAGAAAGTAAGGATCCTGCCCACCCTGGGCCTGCAGCTGACAGGCAGCCTTCTGTTAGGGTTATGTGGAATGGCTTCACACATGATGGAGAGGGGAGTGCCTGCACAGGGGAACCTCCACCACAKCTCCTCTGCCTTTGCACCCTGGGCACGTAGGGCTGCGCTTGAAGGGTCAGKCAGGGCCAGGCACATGCCAGGGTGCACAGAATCAGCTCAAATGCTCAAAAGAAGCAGCTTCAGATGCAGAAAGCCAGCAATTGCCAATTGCTTTTTAACACAACACTTGCAGAAACACCCACATGCACACACACACACACATAAGTGGGGAGGGGAGGTACAGAGCACCATCTCTGCTTTAAAAACACTTTGAAATAGAGTAAGCTAAAGATCAACTGATTGTGAGGTTTTCCTGGAAATGTAAATATACTTCTAAAAAAATCCATCTTTCCTCCTCCAAAAAGTGCTATGCTTGCCCCCACAGCCAGGAGATTTCCCAAATCATCAGTACCACTAATGATCTTTTGACTGCTGCTTTAACAGGTAAAATCATATCAYTTAGTCAACACAATGCAGATATGACCTAGTTTGGCTGCATTTCTTCCCAAGATATTATCAGAGAAGTGGCAATTTGAGCCTCAGCACCTTAGAAAAATAATGAATATTTACTTATACCTATTTCAAGTCTGTCCAATGCAGCCACAGCTTGGTTTTGTGGGGGTAGGGAGGGAGGTTTCAGGGCTTTCTTTCTTAATAAAGACCATAAGTAATGTGACCCACAGGGCTCTCAGGGGAGARGAGAGTCTGGATCCCTCATAGAGGAATCCACCATAAAGAAATACAACAAGATAGAAGGCAGATCCTACAAATGTGGGTCACGTCACTCTATGTGCCATGACGGTCACCCCCAGTGCGCTATTTCTTACTCTGACCCCTATCATCCCCCACTGGTATGGAACTGGAGGAAGAACAGTGGCAGCAGGAACCCCCATTCAGCCAGCTCACATCACAGAGAAAAAGCAGCATCAAGACAACCTTGTTGTRCCTTCTCTCATAAGAGCAAAGAATTGCACACAGAATAAGCTGAGTTGGAAGGGACCCACAAGGATCATCGAGTCCAACTCCTGGCGCTGCACAGGACAATCCCAGTGTCACAATGTGTGCCCAAGAGCATTGTTCAAATGCTTCTTGAGGTCCACCAGGCTTGGTGCTGTGACCACTTCCCTGGCCTGCTATGTGTGCCCTTGGCTCACAGTACAGCATGAAAACAGAGTTTGGGATGAATGAGACAGCCAAGGGCCCACAGGGATGTGGCTGGAACAGGGGCRAGGTGCCAGAAAACAGGGCTGCAAAAATTCCTCTCCTGGGCCACCACTGGGGCAGAAGACCTAGGGCTCAGTGCAAAGCTCAAGTGGGAGATAAAATGAGGCTGAGGGAGAGATAAAGTGTGGGGGCTGACAGAACAGGGGGGCTCCAGTAAGCCAGGGCAGCAGGACTGACTGCTCTCTCCCACTGAACTCATCTGCACGCAGCTGAGATGAAAGCTGTAATCTGCCCCTCACACCAGCCACTGTAGCTTGCAAATACCTTCAGGCAGACATCATAAACTTCATTACACCTGGCTAGCCTCAGGTTTTTAGCATAGAATCCCAAAACATTACCCCCTCCTGCTTTCCACCTCACTTTCAAAGGGGAAAATACATACATATATTCCAACAACGTTTCATAACTTCCAGAAATGCATTCCTGCAGACATGCTGTACCCTAACRCAGCCTTTCAAAGCACAGAGAGAGCTGAGGCAGGTACCCAGGGGCCCTGTCTGCCAGCACCTGTGTGTGAAACCCAGCACTGAGACCATCCCATCTGGGGCTCTCTCTCTGCCCTCTCAGGGGGCTCTGTATCCATCAGCCAGGACTGCTCTGTCCCACACTGCTGCAGGAAGAGCTCTGCTTCTCCATGGGAAGCTAAAGGCTGAAAGGAAGGCATGCTTGCCCAGCTGCTCACTATTTTTAGGCTGGCCTGTTATGAAGTTCTAATAAGGACATACCTTGGGTTATCTCCGATAAGGACATACATTGGGTTATCTGCCACTTCATTGCCGGTCACAGCCCTGAATTGCCAGTCCARCCTCTTTGCTTAGATTGACAAAAGCTTTGCATTATGCAGCTTTGGATGAGAATCATCTTTAAATGGAAAAAAGTGAACTATTTTCATTTCTCTTATTTTCTTCTTGACAAGATTTTTTTAATAAATCTACAATATGCACGGAAATGCACACATTCCTTGAAAACTAACTGTAAAGCTAGTCATTAACTGTAAAAAAAAGGAAGACTGCCATCTGAAATTTTGTTTTTATTTTAAAAAGACTGAAAAAATATTTTAGATGCAACTTCATATCCAAGTTCACCAAGAGTAGATAGCTAAATTCAGCAGAATAGAAATCAGTGAGTAGAACTCAGGAGTTTGCTGCTTTCAAGTTAAAAACCACCATCTCCACGTCTGGGGAAGAGTTGTATAGCCTCCACAACCTGCCAGCTAAATGTCTGTTGTGGTATTTTCTCTGTTTTAAATTTTTTATATCCAAGGTACAATCTGAATAACAACTATAAATGGACAAGGACTTAATAAAGSAAATAATATCTTTACCTTTGCTGATGACAGCAAAAGATACCCACTCTTAAATGCCTGATTCCACCAAGTTKTACCTCAACCACGACTCTGAGCATAGGCCAGTAAAGTATCCTRCTTCAGTGTTCAGAGAAGGGGTCTTGTACATAATAGACATAATTTTATCTTTTGCATTCTTTTTTAACCCTGAAAGAAAGCATAACCAAAAAAGTAATCTATTAAAATAATCTATTGCATTCTTGCAGTTCTCATTCTTTAAAAGARTATTTGTTATGTGAACTAAGGAATAAAATGAGCACAGAAGCAAAACTACAGTGCATCAGCTTYCAGCTTTCCAGGCATTATCAGTGGTCAACTTTCAAAAAGGAAACAGCTTCCTCTGTTTCCACAGCTTTCATTTAGCTATAAACTTTCTTTATAGATGTGACTTATTCTGGCAACAATTAGTCCATTACCTACAGCCTTCCAAAAAAATTAGCAGCTACTCAGAAATAAGCAAAATTTATGAGCTTAATCATACTCATTTGGGGAAGAAGAAGAAATCTGGCTTATCTTCAGCCATTATTCCTTAAAAAGACAAAGTATAAAAAGTCATTACAATGTCTTGAACTCAGGAAGAGACCATCAGTTTCGGAAGAAAAAATTAGGTTTGTGTAAAAGCTTTTACCATAGGCAACCTAATATACAGGATAGAATTCAACAAGACACAGTTAGGAATATACATTATGACACATTCAAGGAAGCTGCCCTGCATAACTCAAAACTTMTTATCCAGTGTTTATTTAGAAGATCATTTTTATATAATATTTGATATCAAATATTCAGTAAAGTCTCAGGATACTAGGATTCCAGCCTTGTGTGTAAACTTAAAAACTAAGTAAATTTAATTTTCTTCCCGTCGAAAACCATGACAATTGAACTAAATTCTCTACAATGCCTCTTGCAACACTTAATATATAAAACTCTTCTTGAGCTATTTCATCCTGGATCTCACCTTCTCCTATAAGTCACACAGCTAAAACAGAAATTGCCAAAGATAAAAACTCACAGCYTTTATCTGACAAGAGTTTTGTAACTTCTGAGACTGCATCAGACACTGCAATATTACCAAAATGGACACTATTTCAATCTTTATTATTTTTCAGCAGAAAAATAGTTAAAATAAAATACCAAATACTAAATACCAAGCATTGCTGTCCCAGAATTCAATACTACACAGATGAAAGGGACAGTTTACGCTCCTCTGACCCATAGCAAAAGAAATCAAGCCTTGCATTCAGATCATGCTTGGAAATTTTCTCTGGTATTATTACAACAATATATTTCTGTGTAACTCCTTTCCCAAATCTGACTGGTATTTTCTGACAGGAATGTCACCCGTCAGAAAAAAAACTAAAAACTCATCAGCTGAAAAAAATGTTTCATGAAACATAACAGWTTCAAAGAGACGGTGAAGAAACACATATCCTAAATGCTCTGATTCCCAGAAGGTGCCCTGGCTCTCTATTCCCAGGTTGGGGAATAGCCTAGGGAGAACACAGCTGAGGGGATTTAGAGAGACACCCCCAGTTTGCAAGAAGCAATGTCTTTCAGATGTGAAATGTGYTTGTTTCATCAAAGCAGCCTGGGCAGTGGCAGCAGTACAGCAAGAATCGATCTTTCTGTGGTCCTCCAAAACCTCCAGTGCCCACAAACGGAGGGATGGAGAAGTGTTTGCAGTTCTGCATGGGCAGGTTAGAAGGCAGCATTGAACACAGCTTGATTTTTGGGTGGTCAGTGACTCGGCTCCAGCCCTGCCAACAGTGTGTGAGCCCTGCACRACCTCTGAGCTGTGGGACCTGAGTGGTACTTGTATCTTATATCACATCAAKGCACCCATTTGCTCCAAGATGGTTCAGCAAGCTCTGAAGCAAGAAGGTCCTGGAGAAACAGGTCCTAAACTGTCCATAAACTTCTTGCAAAAAAGGAAAAGCTATTCCAACCACCAAGGCAGGAACAGCCAGTTCTGAGGCTTTTGCTTRTCAGTCAGTGGTTTAGGGGGCAAAGGAGGATAAAGAAAAAAGGAAAGGGGCAGAGTAAAAGGTTTTTAACAGGYCCAGTGTTAGGTTCTCCAGAGCTCAGATTTTAAAAAAATATCATCATAGTACTTTGCCAAGATGACCAAAATTTCTGAAGGAGTTGCTTTCAAATTTATTTTAATAAAACAGASCTAAAAGCATGTGTATATTCAGTATTGGTGCTGGCTCTTGATATTAAAACTTTATCTTTCCACCTCTCTTCCTGACCCACCATTAAATAAAATTAACTCCACTTTCCTTCCAATGCCTTATGCTTTCTTGKCAAAGACCAGGCTGCAAAGGCTGACCAAAAGCAGAGACTGGAGGAAGGAAGGATGAAACACAGCAGGAGAGCTGTGCCCAAAGCTGATGATTTGAACTCAATTTAGCTTACGGTTAATTCACAGCAGGATTTTTGTAATGGCCTTTATCACCTATGAAGCCATTTCCTCATTATTCATTATCATTAAACATAACAAGACAAGGAAAGATGTTTCTGCACAAAATGGAAAACCATTAGCATAGAATCCCTAATCACAAAGGCTCAATGAATTTTACAAAAGTAACCAATTCTTGCTTCTGTTCACTAGGGAAAAGCAGTAATTCTACATCCCACTGAGGTGATATGTAGCAAAACCCCTGATATGTAGCAGAACATCCTGTGCAAAACTTCCTCTGGACTTGTCARAGCTGCTCTCAGAGAAAAATCAGGAAGTCCCATCCAGCCTCACCCTCCAGTTCTCACTTTCATGTCACACAGAGTACACATTTATGCTCTCTGTTCGCCCTGTTACATTTTAATACAGGGAAGTCATCTACAAAGAATAAGAGAAAACAGTATAACAGACATTTCAACCTTGCTCCTTCTTGGAAGCCACTGTTAATGCATTTCAGCCACATAGTGTGCCAAAATTTACCTTATTGGTGTTTTTTCCARTAATGGATAGTAGAACAATTCTTARTCAAAAGTCATAGAGATCTTCCATATCATTCATTTCTACTAATTTCCACTAATGTGATGGGAAAATTGGGTTCACCATCACATGAAATCTGTCTCAGTAGATAAAAGCAACTAACTCATGAGGCCAAAAGTCAAAAATACTTCAGAGGCAGACACTCTTTTACATGTCATTTCCTTTATCTGATCTTGGATTCTGCTTGTACATGGCAAAAGGAAAAACATGCTGATAACATTTATGGTGTCTTACTATTGAAACTGAGCTTGTGTGCACCTCTGAGAAAGCACAGGCAGATTTGCAACTATTACCTGCCTTTACCAACTGAAGGTATTTACTTTTTCAGTGAATGGAAGTTCGAAAGGAACTACCTCCATGGAGAATGCCAGCAAGTCAGGGGTATGTGGGAAAGGCAATATGCAAGAAATCAGGCTTTTTGTATTTCTACAAAATAACATTTTGAGCTTCAGGGACAAAACCAAACTTCTGTATACTGATGTCAAAACAAAGACAACTAACCTGAACATAAGTAACAACCTCATTGCAAAACCTGGCCRTTAAACTTCATCCATTAAACTCCTTCTAATCCCCTGTACTATGCACTTTTTTTCAACTGACTGTTACTTCTCATTTGACCTGTTTAACCTCACTGTTTAATCTTTCTACTCTCAGACGATTTCTGCTGCTCTCTCAGCTCACAGTGAGCCTCCATTAGAGCTCTTCTCAGCCTGGAGGAATGTTAATTGTTGTACAAATCACCCTGTAAAAGTGAGTATCATAAAAAAGAGCTGAGCAACAAAAACTTAAACACTAGTCCAAAAAATTCAGCTCTGTTTCCATTGTTGAAAAGAATACAAAGACAAGTCAAAAACAGAAATTTTGTTTTCAGGTAGAAAAAAAGAGGAAAACTATAACACAACTGTGAAAAAGTTGAACACAGGAAAAAGAACTTCTTTGGAGATGAAATAGTACAATGTAAGTACTTAAGGAAACCACAAATTGAAATCTTGGTGCAGATTAAACTACAAAACACAAATATAATTWTTTTTTTTTWAATACAACCCATCCTAAGAGAAGAKCTTTATTTTTCCTTATGTGRGTGCTATTAAACATTTTCCCCAAGTTCTTCTTACATGTACACACTGTGAAAAGACCCATRAGTAAAAAATAARTAAATAAATAAAAGTAGCACATTTTTATAGTATAGTTCTGGTAACTTCAACAGACCATCATGACCTTCACTTAAAAACACTCAAGTAAGTGGACAGGAACACTCTTCTAGTCTTACATTCACTGCAGTGAGCTGTGAGGACAAGCACTACCAAGAACAAGCCACCAAGCAGTCAGGGACAAGACAGTGAAGCCAAGAGGGCTTGTGGAGTCAGCAAACAACAGAGAGACCCACAAAGGTTTTCACAGGAAAAAACAACAAGTATTAAAGCAGTTTTGGGAYACCCAGTAGTTAGAGGCAAGGCTTTTTTAAGTTCAGCTGGAAAAGCACACAGCACCAGGAGATTACGGGAGCCATTCCACCAGCCTGCTGCAGCTTCAATGTTGTGGCCTCTTCAGTGGGCTGAGTCCTCAGCCTCTGCCTCCACTTCCTCCCACCACAAAAACCTTTCACTAAATGCTGTAGAACTTTGCGGCCTCTCTGCAGTCCAGCTAAAAAGCAATTTACTCTTCCATTTCTCTCCAGTTAAAACTACTGCACCAGACTTTTAGATTTCTTCTGAGACTGAGRGAAATAAAAAGGAGTGCCTATCCTAAATCTCCCACTGCAATTCATGAGTAGGAAAAGATCAGAGGGCCAGATTAGCAGCTCTGACCTGAGCATGAGGCTCTTACAAAGACAGCTGGGACATCACCATCATTGAAGAAGCAGAGGCTGAAAGAACATTCTACTACCATGGCTGTTCCTATAATCTTATAATGAATGATGCCTCAGACAAAAACAAATGTCTAGTCAGTGAAGGCACAATTTCCTAATTTCTTTCACTTTTTGAGAAGGCTTTATTTTAATAATCTTTTTAAYTGCATAMTGGGAATCCAGTRTATCTGCTCCACTTCAGTTCTCTAYATTTCCCTTGRTTACAGCAGCACATCCCTGCACAGAACATACTGCACACCCTATTCAGGAGCTGACATATCGTTATTTTGGTGGGCTCTGAC